CGGCAGATTTATGACAATCGCTTTTAAGCCGGTGACACACACACACACACCGAAATACACAACTGTGTAATACACACGAACGTAAATTCGCATTCGAAATCGCTTTTGCAACTCTGTGCCTTATGCGACATTGTCGTTTCTTTGTGAAATTGATTATTTGCTATTGTTTTTGTCATGACGCGGCATCGTCCGCGGCTCGGCCCATTTGTTGGCCACAAACATCACTCATTCCAGGCGATCTCATTATTTTGACCATGATTAACTTCGACTCTGCGGTGAATAAGCCCAAAACTTTACAAGCTGTCCACGTGTCCACCCCCTTGGCAGCACAACTTGGACCATTTGCCTGCTGTCGGGTTGCCGCTTAATGCACGACATCAATTTGTTTGCAAATTTTATGACGTTTCCCGCCGTCAGCAGCCGGTCGGCTAGCGTTGGTGCCTCCTTTTGCAACGAGTCCAGCTTCTGCTGTTGCATATTTCGCACCCAAAGCGAACGCGGCGGCATTCCATGCTAAACGGGGTAATTCATCTGCAACGATACTCCAACGTTTGTATAACAGCCGACCAACTGGCTTGTGGCATACTGTTGATGCCTCCGCCACACTCAAGCGGCAGTTAAGTGTCAACGCATAGATTTATTGTTTGAGCGTTTGCTGTATCGTCATATGACTTACAAAATGATACATACATACATACACATACATTTATACATATATAGTACTTTGGAACTGAACCGGAGTATACCAGCCGCAGAGCCACTCTCACGCTACACCCCCACTCTTCTCGTCTTCTGCTTTGGGTGGGAAATGTCCTGCTGCATATTCCCAGAATTTAGAACATTCACCAACGTTGCTTTATTGGAATGATAGGTGCCGCCAAAGTGATTTTAAACTCCAGCTGTCGGGTCTGGCTTATTTGTCAATACTGCCTGCTAGGGCTACAAAAAGGAAAAATGTATATGTAGGTACCTTTTAAATAAACACTCAACGAAGATTGGCGCGTTCCACAGGTAAAGAGTTTACCTATAAAAGACTGACCTAGTCATCCATAATAACACGGTTCGAACCGAATAATATTTTAGTTTTCTTGCATGTTAAATCTATCAATCAAAAATTTAAAAGTACAACTTTATTTGAAAGACGGAAACGAGCCAGAACTCGTATTAAAACCAGAAAGTTAGTAAAGGGTGTTTTTTATAGACATCTGGTTTTCAAGAATAGAACGCATATAATTTAATGTAATGGCCAAGAAACCTAATTATAAAGTTAAGGGTTTGCCATTTTGTTCTAAAAATGATTTTTGGGTTAGTGACCGCCACAGCTAGCTCGTATAATTACCAGCCCTATTTTCGACCACCTTTTGCAGCAATTGAGGCCGAATGTAAGCAATAACGCGCCGAGTATTCTCTTCCATGACGTCAATCGTCTCGATCATATCTTCATAGAGAAAGGACTTCACATAACCCCACGAGAAATAATCCAACAGTGTTAAATCGCACGGTCTTGGAGGCCACGCTTCATCTTAATGGATGCCAGCTACATAAGATGTTTGGAAAAAGATGAGATATAATCATTTCAACGCTCTGTTCTTGAATGTCCCGCTTTTGCCAGATCAAGGCAGAACTACCTTGGATCTCACAGTTTCAGACATTTAGGTGAAATATTGTAGTAGGAAATAAAAATAAAACACCCAAGCAGATATTTAATAGGATCAGGTCTTTTTGCCGATAGCTAATATCCAACTACAGTTGTTTTTCGTCTGGCTGTACATAACAGTCTAAGTGTGACCGCGCGCCATACTGAGGGATCAACCATCTAACCTAACCTAATTTGAAGGCCATGACACGGGCCCACGACGCTAATGCGCTCACCAAAAGTTTCCTTCAACAAATTGATTGTTGTGTTAGCTGTATGGTTTGTAGCGTCGTCTTGTTGGAACCACTGGTCGTCAAGACCCTTTCGCAAAATCTTTCATAAAGTGGGTGGGTCTTCTTCGATACTTTGCTCCATAGCAGCAATAGCATCTTCGGTGTGCATTATCCATTAGAGCAAACGTGGTGTGAAACCAATCCATGGTTGCTCGAATTACCGGCTCTGCTGGGCGATTACATCGAGCGAATATTGGACGCAGCGCGCGATGCGTAGCGCGTACCAAACTATTATTTTGATACTAAATTTGCATGATTTTCAAACGCTGTTCCTAAGTGTGTCTGTTCATTATTTCACCTTTCAAAAGACCAACTCCGAAAAAAGTATTGCTCCATTAAAAAGCACACGTCTAAAAAAACATATAATATAATATTTTTATGTAGAAGTTTCCAAAATCTGAGAGAAACAGAATAAAATTGTGTTCTTTCTAATTTCCAAGTAAGCACTGCTATATGTTTGGACACAACTGTTTACATTAATATCTGCTTCATTTCAAATCACCAACAACAATATTCCCACCTCACCGACTAATTCCTTACTCATTATTTCATATGGACTTGTATGTATGTGTGTATCACAAAACTGTATCCCACCCATTTGGTTAAGTAAAAATGATATCAAAATACTTACTTATCTGCAGCAATTTGTGTATTTTACAATTTTATTGCAACTCAAAGTGAAATGGTGCAATGCCTTACACCAGCACAAATGACTTAAATTCCGTTCGCCTGAATGCTTTCAATATTTTATTGCTCACGCATTATTCTCTTTACTTATTTATTTGCAATATTTATAGTTGAGGCAGACGCACCACCATTGACCGGACTGTGGCGTTAGGTGTGACTTTTCTTTATATTTTTTAATATTTTTAAAGAATTCACGCGATTTTTTTTTTGTTTTTTGCGCGCTAATCCTGAATTTACACGCATCAGCGCTTAATGCAGCCATAAAATTCACACATAAAATGCCACCACCAACACCGCAACAACAACTATATTGAGAAGGCGAAGCAGAGGAGCGAAACAACAAAAACAAGTGTAGCTTTGGCAAACGAAACAACAAAAAAAACCCTCAAAGAAAAAGCAGCCAAAAGTGTCTCTATCAACAGCATATACAGCCAAATACATATATACATACATACATACAGGTATATATATAATATTATCGCCTCATCGCTGCAAAGTGTAGGTGCCGCTTTTGGTGCTTTCGGTGCGTTTGCGCAGGCGCACAGCCGCACAGTCGCACAATCACACAGGCGAGCGCTGCTGCGTTGCGCCAGCATTTAGTCGCTCGCATGTGGGTGTTGTAATGCGATAGTGCTGTTGTTGCTTGTGGGGTCGGCCGGTTGACAGTTGGCGCAGATTAAGTTGCACTACCAGCAAAAGGCCATAAGAAATAATAAAAACAAGTAAGGAAGGGCTAAGTTCGGATGTAACCGAACATTTTATACTCTCGCAAAGTCAAATGGTATACTCGTTTGAGATTTCTTTGTGGATTGGCTGATGTTTTCGGTAGAAGGTCAACTATAGGCACTGGGGTCCACATATTTAGTACTTAGGGGCTTAAACAGTTTTGGTTGGATTTAGACAATTTTTGGCCACAAGGTGGCATACTTTAATCGCATTATTCACGCAAAGTTTTATCCCGATACAGTCATTGTTGCCTGATTTGCATAGTGGGAAGTGAAAGAATCTGATGGAATTTAAAATGGTGTTATATGGAAAGTAGGCGTGGTTGTAGTCCGATTTCGCCCATTTTTGCACTGTGACATAGAAACATGAAAAGAACGTTATGCACCGAATTTGGTTGAAATCGGTTAAGCAGATCTCAAGATATGGGTTTTCACCTAAAAGTGGGCTGTGCCACGCCCACTGGAAAAGAGAGAGATTTTGATTGCGAGCTCCGGACAGAAGACTCTCGTCCAACCGCATTCTTGAGTTTCGATCCATCCTTTAAAAGCTCACTGCGCCTCTTCTTCAGCGACTCCGCAACATATCTCTTGGAGAAGTATACATATGTACGCGGAGAAGATGTCACTAGAAGTAGGGCCCGTTTCGCAGTGTTCACGATATCAGAGATGCAGTCGAAGTGAAATAGATTGCGGAATGTTTCTCTGGAACCATAAATGTATCCATTTCGCGAAATCTGATAGCAGATCGGGGACTTATTACATATCATCATCGCTACGCTAATATAAAATACTAAATACTAAGTACAAATAGGCGGGTGGTTAAAACCCGAACAATAACTACCAAGACCTTAAAATATAAGGGCTAATTGTATTAGAGCGTAGGTTAGCAGAGCTACAACTTCTCGGTTTGAGGATATTGTTGTGAAGATGTCCTTATTTTAAGCTCATCAACTTTCCCATTTCTGACGATTGGTACCCTATAGGTCTTAACACTTAGTTGTACTTTGATGCAACTAATAAGTGAGACACTCTTTGACTAGTTCTGCGCATGCAGTCAGTCAAAGTGAACGATTTGAAGCAGTATATTTAATGTTAACTTGAAAGACAAATCAGTGGTCTGAAACTAGAATCGATGTGGAGCTCCGCATCATTCATATTTACTCAACTACGTCGAAATATAAGCAAGGAATATGAACCAAAAAGTTTTCATTGTGTTCATGAAGACTCCAATTGATCTTGCGTTCGGGTTCACAAAGGTAGGCATCAGAGTTTACTTTTTCAATAAAGAAAATCACTATTAAGTCGCAACATTTTACACCCACCCGGAATTCTTCCACTCTCTGCCTTTCGAAGTGCAAACGGAGCTTTACCCAAATAAACACTCTTCCGTCCCACTTTAAATTAGCTTTAATTACCCAAAAGTCAATTCATTTCCACTGCGGCACAGAGTGCCAAATTGTCGTCATCGTCTTTGATTGCTTTCCGAGTAGGCGGGTAGCGGTGACTACGCGACATGCTGTCAAAGTTCCGCCAAAGCTGTGATGACGCGCAGAAACCAGAGTGAAATTTAATTATTTAAAAGGAAAAATAAGTAAAACACAACGTAAGACAACTTGGACTTTGGACTATTTAACATTTGAATTAATTGCGTCGGCAACAATGGCAGCGGTATCTAGCTGTGGCAGGGACTCATTGTCGAAGGACGAAAGTGGGTATTGCATGAATTTGTTAACAATTCCGAGCGCTTTGCCGAATTACAATTCATTGGTGCCGTGTAATTTTAACTCCTCATAAATCTTGGCGGCAAGTTCGTGGCGTGGATGCCACGGAATTTATGCAGACTCGTGTCAATGTGTCTGGGCTTAAAGCAAGTGGTAATCTAAGTGCGCCTTTGGTGACTGGGTAAGGGAGCGCAGACCAGCTAGTGTCCGAAAATGTAGGCAAAGCGGAACGTTTGCGTCCAGTCATTGTGGCGCAATTACGCGCATCTATTTTATTCGGGCAAATGGAATTTTATGTTCCAGTTGAGCATATTCAACAACACATACACACATATGTATCAGTGGACGGGTGCATACAACCCTTAGATATACGTGAAATTTAGTAGAAGGTTGATAATTCACAAGTTACTACTGGTGCACCCAAGTACCTCACAGTGCGGCAGTGAGTCCTGCTCAATTAAATGCGTTTTATAAGTCTACACACACCCTACTTATATATACATATTTATATTTTCACATATGTCTACCGACTTATAACGGTGGTCACGCTTAGCTCACACTTTTCACACTTCGTCTCCTTTGCCCCCTACTAATGGCTCTGTGTTCTATTATCTCTCTGTATTTCCAGGCCCGCGTGCACGTAAGCCGAAGAAGTTGGCCGGTGAGAAGGGCAGTAGCAGCGGTGCATCGAATGGCAGCGGAAGCGGAGGTGGCGGTGCTGCCACCGCAGAGGATAAACGACCGCGCACGGCGTTCAGTGGATCGCAATTGGCGCGCTTGAAGGTGAGTTATTGCTGCGCAATGAAATTTAATTTCCACCGAAGCAGAGGCAATGAATTGAAAATATCTAGACGTAGTTGCATACATACATAGTATACCGAGAAGTACATAACCAGCTATTTATTATCTTAAGTGGAAGGCAGTTTATAAACTAGTGGTAGAAGTAGCACAAGAAATTGCATTTTGTTAATAAAATTGAAGTATTTTTAGTTTTTAGTTAAAGCCTATCACTAAGGACTAAGTATCGAAATCTCAAGCATTCTTCTTCGATTATATGTTGTTGTTAAATCGAGCTGGCATACCTGTTATCTCTAACCGGGTAATCTTATAATTCTCCGAAACCCTTCCAAAGTTGGTATGAGTTCAATATAGCCTTTTAACTGAGTTTAAGTTCAAAGTCTTATACTATGGCATTCCTGTTAAAAATATGATATATTCATATAGAGCAAATCGTATCTACATATATGTATATGTATATAATATATTACATGTCGCTTTGTTTGTCCGGGATACTCATAATATACTGATTTTAATAAACTTAATACATTGTGTGTAGTTTGATTCAATTTAAAAGATAATACCGATGACAGTAAGGTAACTTATTCACTGGAATATGGATATTAAATTTAAAATATGGCACATACTATAACTATAAAAGATATGGTCTCAATAGAAAATACGTTCATGGATTGAAAGTTTAGTGAAGAAATTGTTCTCATGCAGTATATTTCAATGTCTCCGTCATAACCTACGTTACACTTCCGAAGGCTACAGTTTCTATTCATTTAACTTTCGGCCTGTCTATAAATAAGTCACATAGCCAAAAATATATATTTTAGGTTCCAACCCGACGATTATTTGAAAAACTATATAGACTTTTTAAATTATCCATCGTAACACTATATTCTCAAGTTGCCACTAGGTTTGTAACACCAAAGAAAACGTCAGAGACCTTATAAATTATATACATATATAAATTATCAGCGTAACGAACCGAATTATTTAGCCATGTCCATCTGTAGATACGCGACTAGCGCCTCAGTTTTTAAGATATTGATCTAAAATTTGCACAGGTCCTTTCCTCAACAACAAGCTGCTAATTTGTCGGAACAACCGATATCGGACAACCATAGCATGTAGCTGTCATACATATGACCAATCAAAACAGAATGCAGTTTATTTATGTCCTAAAACATGCACTTGTGAAGGCTATTATAGCTTCGGTGCAGGCGAAGTTAACGTTTTTTGTTTTATAAGCTAAAGTGGTTACACAATGACTGCTGTTTCAAGAAGTACTTACGTATGTATATATTGAACATGGGTAAAGCCTCGTCTGAAAAGTGTCGGTTCTGCGAAAAGGAGCCGAAACTCCGAGCATCTGCTTCTAGATTGTGTAGTGATCTGTAGACGCGGGATCGCAAGACGCGTGAGATCATCTAAGTAGGAGCACATTGCAAAATGGCGCCTAGTAAAATCATGAAATTTATCAGAGACAGGAAATATTTGAATATATGCCAAATAGCTCAGGTCGCCGTGTACATCTAAATTTTATTCTATGCATAAGCTTTCTCAACTTTAATCTTTAGGATCCACGAGATAATGGTTCGAACATAGAATTAGTTACAAAAAATATCTGAAGATTATTTTTCTAAATGAAGGGATGGTATATGTTATCCAAAGGCTCGAATAATATTTTCGCCTTTCCTAAGACCCCACAAATTAGTCGAAAAGTATATCTAAAATCGGTTTATGTGCAAAATAACTTTATTCCATCCCGCGAATTTCACTGTGTTTTCGCTTTTGAAAACGTGGCCGTAAAATTGAGCAAACCTTACGTTGCACAAGATTACTGCTTTTCCATATATTTTTGATTAGTATTTGCTCACGCTTTATTTATTTTATTTTCCTCTCTTCTTTCGCCCACAAAATAGCACGAGTTCACCGAGAATCGTTATCTAACCGAAAGCGACGTCAGCAACTTAGCTCCGAACTGGGACTAAATGGAGCGCAGATAAAATTTGGTTTCAAAACAAACGTGCCAAACTGAAAAGTCAAGCGGCACTAAGAATCCTTTGGCCCTGCAACTTATGGCGCAAGGCCTTTAAACACTCCGACGGTGCCGCTGACGCGAGAAGAAGAAGAACTGCAAGAGCTGCAGGAGCGCGAAAACGCAGCAGCGGCCGCCGCAGCAGCAGAGGTAAGAAATGGTGGCGCAACAACAGCCACAACTGTGTCCACGTAGGTAGTCTCGTGATGCTGAGGTAATTGTATTTGGAGACAACGAAGTAATAACTATCACTGTAAATTATAATTATTAATAATTTATTTACAACTAATAGCAAAATATATACAGATGTAAATTATATGTACAAATATTTAAATTTATTGTATTATATTTAACGAAATGAAGTATAGAGAGCGATTATGGTAAGAACGTGGCGTGGGCTAAATATTGGAGACTGAGTTTGATGGAAGAGATATGCTTCCATTCGCTACTACCAAAAAGTTAAGTCTTGTGGTTAGTTTGAAAACATGTTTTAACAATTGAAAGGAATTTCACTTGCCTACAGAAACCGTTACTATTGATTTTGGAAAGCCAGCCAAATTATTCCATAGCTTGGATTTCTTAACAAATATAGTTTCCCTCACTTTTGTATACAGATATTTTCAAATTCCAGTTTGCAAATTAACATGAACTGAAAAGGATTAGAGTGGCGAACGATATGGTTAAAATATTTTTATGGAGACTTAAAAGGCTTGAAAATAATGGAAAATCATAAATAAGATTGAAGGGAAGACAAAAGAATATATGTATATATTTTGCGTAAGTTCTTGAAATTAGATATACTTGTATTGTTATCGGCCTATAACAATAACAGCGACCTTCAAGAGGCAGAGGTGAGAGGTGTTCAGCATGCTTTGCGAATTCTGCGCTTTAACTACCTGATAAAGGTCAGCAGATCTTTATGTTGCAGAACCTCATCTCATCTTCAACCGAAAAACAGAATATTTAGGTGCAATGACAAAAATGTATATTAAGCTCCTAATCCAGACATATCGTCAGTCATGTTGTGAAAACCTTACCCAAAGGTGCCATTTAAAATAAACGCATAATCCTTGAGATGGACACATGGGCAATAATGTCACAAATTAAATATGGTTACGGCACTTTATTAGACGTGTACTTACAGCAAGAGGAAGCACGTGAGCGGAGAGAAATGTTCTCGCGCAAATTGAAAAGAGCACGTGTCAGATATGAATTGATGCATTCCAATGAGTCGGATACAGATGATGACAGTTACGAAGACGATTGCGAAAGTAAACACTTTTGTCACGCGATTTATATTAATTTTGTCGGAAAACAAGATCAACCCGAAGAAGAGTCCACAGATGGGCTAAATATGCGGCCAAATGAAGTCATTCACATCGATAGTGATGATGATACAGATGATTCTGACGAGCAAGCCAAAGTCACTAAATCATTGATTATAAAAAGATATGGTCACAAAGAGGAAGCAGCTCGACCATCGAATCTGATTTAGACTCACCCGAGAAGAATGCCTACTCCAATGGAGTAGCATATGTTACATCAGCCAACAAGTATGTTATATCACCGGCAATGATGACGGAATCGAAATTTTAGAGGAAAACTCAGAAATTGAAGACCTGTGCACCACCGAGAGCGAATCATTCTTCAGTGGTTGTATACCAAAATACGCCAACCACATCTAATAAGCGCTTTAGAAACGTCGCTTGAACTTCACAATTTAGATGACTGACTGACAACCATTTATTAGGCAAATTCTTACTGACGACTGATAATCTAAAATTTTGTAAATCACTAATTCTAAAATATAATTTTATGAAAAGTGTATAAGCTTTTTATTTTTATTTGATTATAATCTTGTTATTTATGTGATCAAAATTCCACTCTTGCCAAGGTTCTTATATTACTTATCTGCACTCCAATTTTCGCAAAATTTTGGATATTCTGAATTTATCAAGAGTGCTTTTTAACTGAACTCACATATCTAGTGTTGTTGGAATTACAATGTTGCACTTGAAACAAAATCCGTTCAGTGGAACAAAGAGAAAGAGGTAAAGAGAGGTTATTCATCAAATTTTTAGAGTTCCTGAACTTGGTGTCAAAGAATGCAGTCTTTGGTATAACAATAGATGTTTAAATTTAGGTATATTGGGTTTAAATAGGTAGGTTTTATTTCTTTTTAAAAATGTCTCTAAGCAGGGTAAATGGGTAAGCAAAATGGAAGCTATGGAAAATCTAGCTCCATCTGGCTCAATACAGAATCAAATTCGACGAGTCGATCCAAACATTTAAGAGATTTCGAAACGTATACTAATTTGTTGTACATTAGTTTGGAGTCATTTTAACAACTTAAAAGCAGGCTAGCGTCTAAATTATGTCCGAAGGCAGGACTTTAAATTTCAAGATGACATTAACAGGTTCAATACAGGTGGTTTTCAACAAGAAATAAAACGCATATAATTTAATGTCAGGGCCAAGAATTTAGCTTTATTATAAAGATGTGGTGTGCCTTTATGTTTTATAAATTATTTCAGACAAGTTGCCGTCGCGGCTGCTTCGAATAAACTTCAGCCGAGAGGCCAAATTTTCGATAACTTTTGCAGCAATTCTTGGAGGCCATGCCAGAGGCCTCAGATGCGAGGTAATGTTCTCACCTAAACTTTCCTTCAATAAATGGATTCTTTCATTTTATGGACGTTCCATCCGCAAAATCTTCATAAAGTGAATCAAAATATTGTCTCATTGAAACTACATGTCTAAAAACACACCGCTATGAAGCGAAAGAGCATACATCTCTGAGCCTCTGACTTTCAGCTTATTTTAAAATTTTCACATCCTCTTAAAAATTTAACCAATACACGTTTAAAGTTTAAACACTTTTAAATAGTAAATGTTATATGTCTATGAACAGGACAGAAATCATGTTTATTATAACTGTTTTTCTTTCTATAGAAAACTATTTCTTTATTATTGTAACCCCATATATGACTATGTAGCCCTCGCAGTGTTCTGTACTGAATCGCTCCCATTCAAGCAATATTCATCATAGTAATTAAAATTAAAAATATTTATTTATTAAATTTATATTTCATTAAAATAAAACAAATACAAATTAAATGAGAAATAGATTTTAATTTTTGTAATTTTGTTTAATAAAAAGTAAAATAAGTAGCCACCTCGAAAAACATTGCTAGTAGAAGGCACAAAAAAATTACAAAAATAAAAATAAAGTTTAAGAAATATTTCTAAATAAAATACACATACTCGTATATATACTTCAACTAATTTTATTGGCTTAACTACAAACCAAATCTAGTCTAGCTGATATAAATGATACTACTATTATTTTAAGTAGTAAGTTATTATGTGAAGAAATACAAATGTATACGTGTAAATATTTAATGAATATTTATAGCATAAACTATATAATCGCTAAAATACTGTACTTATGAAATATATTGTAATTTATTTAAGTTTAAGACACAAAATAAAATTGTATTAAGATGCTAAAATGGTTCGAAAATATTAATTTAAGGCCAAAATTCGCGTTTTAACTTATTTGGAGCTCAAATTACAGGGTGTTAAGCAGAAAAACAAGAAAAATCAAAAAGTTTAGATGAGAAGAAAATTGAAATAAAATTTGTAAATTGAAACATAAAATTTAAAAATATAAATAATTTATGTCTTTCTAAACACCAAAAATTGAGTATGGAAAAGTATATTTTAATTAAAATTTATTACAAAATTTTTAAATATAAAATCGTTGTAAATTTTTTGTATTTTTATCTAAAAGTGTTATTTATAAAATTTTATTTATTTGAAATATAGTTATGAATTTTTGTATAAACAAAATTTTGAAAAATATTTTAATTAATTTTTTTTATTAAATTTTTTTTATCTAAATATTTTTCAACTAATTTCCACTTTATAAATTGTTATTTTACCAAGATACAAAACAAATGTTGTGAACCATCATTCTAGGTTCTTTTAAAGATATTTTTATTTCATCTCCTTCAACACCCTGTCACCTATAATGTAAATATATCTGCAAACATATGTATATACATATCTATAAGTATGTTAGCAACAATAACTGTAGCAATACCGTTTAACGATAGCAAACATCGAACTGGTTTTGACGACTACTCTAACTAAGTATGTAATAATTTAATTAAAATTTATTGCATGCAAATTTGGATTTCAATACCAGAAAACTGAAAGTAAACGAGACACAAAACACAAATGAATACAATTACTACAATAAATAAAATGATAATTTGCCAAATAAAAGCGATGGTTTATTTTTCTGCTCTCAAAGCTGTAATATTCTATGGAGAATTTTGAAAGGTTGAAAATTTTATGTTTGTATGTGTGGCTATAATGGGTGGTCCAATTATCGCGTTTCTTTAACTTTACAAGACAGTTCAGCGCATTTATGTCCAATTGTGACCAGCAGTGTTAAGCGAGATGACTTAATATGCAAATCGCCACTAAATCTTTAAGATTAGAAAACTAAAATGGAAAAGAGATATTCTAATTCATATGGCGCGCGATTCTAATTTGCAATTTTATTTCATTTTGTATGTGGGCTTTTAATTGATTGCTTAATTAAGCATTACGACTGAACTGGTGGTTTATAGTTAACAACAGGTGAGTTTTATTTTATATTTTTTTCAGAAAGCAAGAATATGGCAAGGTCAATATTTCGCTCTAAAGTGAACGTTATTTTGTGTTAATGATGCGGAAAGCAGAAAATAGTCGAAAATAGTATTACAAAAATAGTTTTCGTACATACTAACATATACATACTTATATTCATTACTAATCTAGGTATTCACGTTTCATGGCAAAAGATTCATCGTCCTATATATGGGAAGAATACGATTTCACGAACGCTTTCAGCAACTTTTTTACGAAGAAGGGCGCTGCATAAACCGTAAATAGTTTTAAAATATTTTATCTGCATTAAAGATTTCTCAATATTGTAATACTGAATTATTTTAGCACCTTTTATACCCTGAACAGGCGGAACAGGGTATATTAAGTTTGCCATGAAGTTTGTGACACAGAAGGAAACGTCGGAGATCCTATAAAATATATACATAAATGATCAGCATGATGAGCTGAGTTGATTTAGCCATGTCCGTCTGTATGTCCGTCTGTTCGTCTGTCTGTATATATAACAACTAGTTTCTCAGTTTTAAGCTATCGATCTAAAATTTGCGCTTGTCCTTTTCTTACAAAGAAG